TCCACTCACCTTGCTTCTCTCCAGGTGTGTCTGTACAGTTTCTTTGTCTCTTAAGGGAATGCTATGAAGTTGCCTCCCTGTGTATCTCACCTGTGGTCATTACTTGCATTGACTTAAGATAGCCACGTTGAGCTGGGATGGCTGGCAGAGCCCCTCTGTTCTGTGTTATTCCTTGTTCGCTGTGTTCATTCAGTTCTTCCTTGCAGTCGGTGTTCAATTAGATTCTTTATCCTTCTTTTTTGTTGTTTAGGATTCCAGGGTTGTTATTTACATCTGTTTCACTTGTTTTTTGGAACTTTGCTGTAGGGGGACGGTATGGTTTGTCTGACTAATCCACCATCTTGATTCCTCCCCAGTTATGTTTTGTTTTGTTTTTAATCAGGAAGTAAGATCTTTTGTCCATTGATGTATTAAGATATTAAAAAGTATATTATGAATTGTATAAAACCCTTTGTTATAGGAGTACAAGTAATTAAAGTGGTGGTATTACAGTGTAGCCTGTCATCCTAACGTATTATCTTTACCCAAAATATTTTGTTGTCGAGAAACCATTAAGACATTTGGTTGTTGGAATTACAGCTTCATTGTATCATCAGATTCAGCTGGACTTGTTTACACCATAGCACAAATGGCTTATGTCTTAGAAAGCTGGAAAAAGGAACCCTGAAACAAATACTATATTTTGAATAGGTATTTATATATATATAGATACAGATGTTGTTGTTGTTGGGTGCTGTCTAGTCAATTCTGACTTACAGTAACCCTATAAGACAGAGTAGAATTACCCCATAAGGTTTCCTAGACTGTAATCTTTATGGGAGCAGATTGCTAGGGCTTTAATCCTGTGCAGCCACTGGGTGAGTTCAAATTGCTGACCTTTCGGTTGGCAGCCAAGTGCTTAGCTTAACCATTGGGTCACTGTGGTTCCTTATAGATATAGCTATCTATGGATATGTATATAAAATCTTTTATATGGAACTTACTTCAATGAATATATTTTCCATTTCTTTAATTTTTATTTTATCTAATTTTTTCATATTCATCTGGTCTTTTCCATAATGCTCTGTTCTTAGAGTCCTATGAAAGACAGAATCCACAGTCCATCTCCTGTTCACAGCTCCCCAAATTCTTTACTGGAATTCAGTTATGTTGAGCATACTTCTGGGTCCCTGTACAAGCCATTCTCTCTGCCCAATATGCTGTCTCCCCATATACTTGAATGGGTTTCTTCTTCACATCTTTACATCTCTGCTCAAATGTCACCACTTTCCCAAGGACTTGGCTGACCACCTTGTAAGTCACTTACTCTGTCCCTTTACTCTTTTCCTTCATAGCATTTATCACTACCTGACACTATAGAATGTGTTACTTGTCTGTCTCCAACATTCCCACGGGGAATTCCCACGGGGACAAGGATTGCTTATTTACTGCTAAATGCCCAACACCCAGAGCACTGTCTGGCATGTAGTAGTTGCTCAATAAATATAGGTTGAATGACTTTCTTGTCATGAAGATTTAATAAAGAATGTTTCTACATACAATCGCCTCCTTTTATCACTTTCATTATTATAAACATAGCTATTTTTAT